ACTGGGAGGGACTGGGAGGGGGAAAAATGGGGGAAAAACGGTTAAAAATGGGAAAAAATGGGGAAAAACGTGGGTTTAGGGTTACTGGTTTATACTGGGTTATACTGGGAGGGGGAAAAATGGGGAAAAAATGGGGAAAAAAAGGGAAAAAATGGTAAATAAAGGGTTAAAAATGGGTGTGAAAGGGTTAAAAATGGCGGGAAATGGGGGCTGGGGTTACTGGTTTGGACTGGTTTATACTGGTTTGTACTGGGAGGGGATTTTGGGGTGAATTTGATGAATTTTGGGGTGAATTTGGCGAATTTCGGGTGAAATTTTTGGGATTTTGGGGAATTTTGGGGTAAATTTGGGTGATTTTTGTCAATTTTGGGTTGAATTTGATGAATTTTGGGTCAAAATTTGGGGTTTTTGGGGTAAATTTGGGCGATTTTGATGAATTTGGGGTCGATTTTATGAACTTTGGGTGGATTTTGGTGAATTTTGGGGTGAATTTGCTGACTTTTGTCAATTTTGGGTTGAATTTGATGAATTCTGGGTTGAATTTGGGGTTTTTGGGGTAAATTTGGGCAATTTTTGTCAATTTTTGGGTGAATTTGGTGATTTTTGTTAACTTTGGGGGGAATTTTGGGGTTTTTGGGGTAAATTTGGGCGATTTTTGTCAATTTTGGGGTGAATTTGATGAATTTTGGGTCAAAATTTGGGGATTTTGGGGTAAATTCGGGCAATTTTGATGAATTTGGGGTCGAACTTTCTGAATTTTGGGGTGAATTTGAGGGATTTTGGTGAATTTTGGGGTAAATTTGATGATTTTTGTTAATTTTGGGTTGAATTTTGAGGGATTTTGGTGAATTTTGGGGTAAATTTGATGATTTTTGTTAATTTTGGGTTGAATTTTGGGGTTTTTGGGGTAAATTTGGGCGATTTTGATGAATTTGGGGTCGATTTTATGAATTTTGGGTGGATTTTGGTGAATTTTGATGAAATTTGGGCGATTTTTGTCAATTCTGGGTTGAATTTGATGAATTTTGGGTCAAAATTTGGGGTTTTTGGGGTAAATTTGGGCGATTTTGATGAATTTGGGGTCGATTTTGATGAATTCGGGGTCGATTTTGATGAATTCGGGGCCGAACTTCCCGAATTTCGGGGTGAATTCTCCGAATTTTGGGTGCAAACCCCGGGATTTTGGCTCAGACTGGAACACCCTGATCGTGGGGAAACTCTCGCCCTGGATCCGCCCGGATTCGCCGCTGGAACACGTCCGGAAAAACTCCCAAAAAGTAAAAAAAACGGGAAAATTCCAGGAAAAATCCGGAATTTTCAGGAATTCTGGGGGGGAATCCTCAAAGATTCCAAGGAAATTTGGGAATTTTGGGGCGATTTCGTTGAATTTTGGGGTTTTTTTTTTTTTTTGGGGAATTTTCGTGAAAATTCCGGAATTTCTCCTCCTGGAATTTTGGGGTGAATTTTAAAGAATTTGGGGTCAGAATGGGATGGATTTTTTTTTTTCAGGGATTTTGGGATGAATTTGGGGGAATTTTGGTCTCCAAAATCTTCATTTTTTGAGCGTTTTACACCAATTTTTTTCCCATTTTTTTGCTGATTTTCCCCCAAATTTCCCCCGATTTTTTTGGGGATTTTTTTTTGGGAATTTCAGGATTTTTTTGGGATTAATTTGGGATAAATTTGAGATAAATTTGGGATAAATTTGGGATAATTTTGTGACAGTTTTGCTCTCCAAAATCCCCATTTTTTCCCCATTTTTTTCCCCGTTTTCCCCCAAATTTCCCCCGATTTTTTTTGGATTTTTTTTTGGAATTTCAGGAATTTTTTTAAGTAAATTTGGGAATAATTTGTGATAAATTTGGGATAAATTTGGGACAATTTTGCTCTCCAAAATCCCCTTTTTTTCCCATTTTTTCCCCATTTTTTCCCCATTTTTTCCCTATTTTTTTCCCATTTTTCCCCCAAATTTCCCCTGATTTTTTTTGGGATTTTTTTGGGAATTTCAGGAATTTTTTGGGATAAATTTGGGATAAATTTGGGATAAATTTGTGACAATTTTGCTCTCCAAAATCCCCATTTTTTCCCATTTTTTCCCCATTTTTTCCCCGTTTTTCCCCCAAATTTCCCCCGATTTTTTTTTGGATTTTTTTTGGGAATTTCAGGAATTTTTTGGGATAAATTTGGGATAAATTTGGGACAATTTTGCTCTCCAGAACCCGCATTTTTTGCGGATTTTTTTGCTAAATTTTTCCCATTTTTTCCCCGTTCTTCCCCCAAATTTCCCCCGATTTTTTTGGGGATTTTTTTGGGGAATCCTGGGAATTTTTTGGGATAAATTTGGGACAATTTTGCTCTCCAAAACCTTCATTTTTTGAGCATTTTACACCAATTTTTTTTGCCATTTTTTCCCCATTTTTTTCCCATTTTTTCCCCATTTTTCCCCCAAATTTCCCCCGATTTTTTTGGGGATTTTTTTGGGGATTTTTTTTGGGAATCTCAGGATTTTTTTGGGATAAATCTGGGATAAATTTGGGATAATTTTGTGGTAATTTTGTGACAATTTTGCTCTCCAAAATCCCCATTTTTTGAATATTTTACACCAATTTTTTTCCCATTTTTCCCCATTTTCCCCCCAATTTTCCCCCGATTTTTTTTGGGATTTTTTTTTGGAATTTCAGGAATTTTTTTAAGTAAATTTGAGATAAATTTGGGATAAATTTGAGATAAATTTGTGACAATTTTGCTCTCCAAAATCCCCATTTTTTTCCCATTTTTCCCCATTTTTTCCCCATTTTTTCTCCATTTTTTTCCCATTTTTCCCCCAAATTTCCCCTGATTTTTTTTTTGATTTTTTTTTGGAATTTCAGGAATTTTTTGGGATTAATTTGGGATAAATTTGGGATAAATTTGTGACAATTTTGCTCTCCAAAATCCCTTTTTTTTCCCATTTTTTCCCATTTTTTCCCCATTTTTTTCCCATTTTTTCCCCTTTTTTCCCCATTTTTCCCCCAAATTTCCCTCAATTTTTTTGGGGGATTTTTTTTGGGAATTTCAGGAATTTTTTGGGATAAATTTGGGATAATTTTGCACTCCAAAATCCCCATTTTTTGCTTAATTTTTCCCATTTTTTTCCCATTTTTCCCCGTTTTTCCCCCAAATTTCCCCCGATTTTTTTTTGATTTTTTTGGGAATTTCAGGATTTTTTTGGGATTAATTTGGGATAAATTTGGGATAAATTTGGGATAAATTTGTGACAGTTTTGCTCTCCAAAATCCCCTTTTTTTCCCCATTTTTTCCCATTTTTTCCCCGTTTTTCCCCATTTTTTCTCCATTTTTTTCCTGTTTTTCCCCCAAATTTCCCCCGATTTTTTTTGGATTTTTTTTGGATTTTCAGGAATTTTTTGGGATAAATTTGGGATAATTTTGGGATAAATTTGTGACAATTTTGCTCTCCAAAACCTTCATTTTTTGAGCATTTTACACCAATTTTTTCCCATTTTTTCCCCATTTTTCCCCCTTTTTCCCCCAAATTTCCCCTGATTTTTTTTTTGATTTTTTTTTGGAATTTCAGGAATTTTTTGGGATAAATTTGGGATAAATTTGGGATAAATTTGTGACAATTTTGCTCTCCAAAATCCCCTTTTTTTCCCATTTTTTCCCCATTTTTTCTCCATTTTTTTCCCATTTTTCCCCCAAATTTCCCCCGATTTTTTGTGGGATTTTGGGAATTTTTTGGGATAAATTTGGGGAAAATTTGTGACAATTTTGGGATAAATTTGGGATAAATTTGGGATAAATTTGTGACAATTTTGCTCTCCAGAACCCGCATTTTTTCCCCATTTTTTCCCATTTTTTCCCCGTTTTTCCCCGTTTTTCCCCCCAATTTTCCCCGATTTTTTTTGGGATTTTTTTGGGAATCTCAGGAATTTTTTGGGATAAATCTGGGATAAATTTGGGATAAATCTGGGATAAATTTGGGAACGTTTTTAACCCTTCCAGGCCCTGCGTCAGGAGCTGGATTTCGGCGCTTACCTGGGCCTGGCCGCTCACCTGGTGCCGCTGCGGGGGGGGCACAACCCCAACCTGGCCCGGGGGCTGAGCGCCCACCTGCACAGCGGCCACCACGCCACACAGGTGCTGGGACGGACTGGGAGGGACTGGGAGGGACTGGGAGAAGGAGAAATGGGGAAAAAACGGGGAAAAACGGTGAAAAAATGGGGAAAATAGGGGGAAAAATGGGGAGGAAAGGGTTAAAAATGGCGGGAAATGGGGTCTGGGGTTACTGGTTTGGACTGGGACAAACTGGGAGGGGCTGGGAGGGACTGGGAAGGGGAGAAATGGG